TCCTATTGTACACCACTCTTTAAAAAATCTTAGAAAAACTTATTAGCAATGATATTGGTCTATAGAGTGCCATAATTGCCTTCTCACCTGTTTTATATATAGGTCTTAATGAGGCAAATTTCATTCTGTCAGGATATATTCCATGCTCAAAAGATGCATTAAATATGTGACACAATGGTTTACTTATCTCAGTTATACAGTATTTCAATATCTTACTAGAAATGCCATCATATCCTGTAGAATCTTTTGATTTTTGCAACATAAGTATGCTCTTTATTTCCACCTCCGTTGTAGGTATTAGCTTCAGTTCAGGGAATTTATCAAATTTCAAAGTGTCTAAGAATTTAATGGCATCATTTTTATTTGCATTTCTCGTTTCTAGATTCTCAGCTACAGTTATAAAGTATTTATTGAATACTTCTACTACATCCTTAGTATTAGTTACTTTGCTATTCCCCACTTTCAATTCAATTCTAACATTTATCTAAGTCCTCACCTCTCCATGTGTTGTGTATGTATTTCTCTGCCTTTGCAGAAAGCATCACACAAATGGAAGCTGTTCGTTATAGTGAAAATGAAGTTTGATAAGTGAAAAATAGGTACAAATTAACGTGCTTTGCTGTAGTGAAAATTTGTAAATCTGATGTTGGTAAAATAAGGAATACCTTTATATGTATTTCCCTTACTTACTTACTCATGGAGCTGAGTCCTTCTGGATGAACCGCCAATTGTGCAGCTACTCAAGAATTTCCCAGCATTTTATGGAACCTGAAGGTTCATTATCATGTTCACAAGAGCCCTCCACTGGTCCCTGTCCTGAGCCAGATCAATCCAATACATACCATCCCATCCTGTCTCTCTAAGATCCATTTTAATATTGTCCACCCACCTATGCCTTGGTCTTCCCAGTGGTCTCATTCCTTCCATTCTATATTTCCTTTGGACCAAAAAATTTGTTAATGTCATTTATCCTCTGAAATTATTTCAAGGTCTCTTTCCTTTGTTGGGTCATGCTGCGATGAATGTACGACCATCTCTTCTTACTGTGTATGAGACACATTTTGTTCCACTTGGCGAAAGACTCCGACCTGGACTTAGTGGGTTTCTTAGTGGTGTTTTACCTGGTCTTGAAGAAGGCTCTGATCATTTTGACAGGTGAGTTAAAATTTTAATTTAATTTTCTAGTTTTAACCATACAGGCAGGCTCCTATTTACATTGTTCTGAATTAATGATTTTTCATTGCAGCATTGTTAACTACTTGGGGATTCAATTTTGTTAACAGTTGTTTCTGGCCAAGACTATGTTATTTTGAGCAGTAAGTACAGCTGTGGATTGAATGATTTCTATTTGCATTGTTTTGACGTACCTCATCGTTTCCAGGACTACAGGGTCAAGCAAATAAGTTTTGAGACTCACTTTCAATTTCATGCTGGGTGATCTGGCAGTGCTGTTACTTGGAAAATTAGGTGACGTGACAAGACAAAGCTCACATGGAAAGTGTGGATAAGCTGCATTCAGTATTCATTGAATAGTAGCTAATTAGATGACAGTGGTCATCAGCTTTGCCCACATGTGTAAGAGGACCATGTGATGGAACAGAGAGTGAACATGAATTTTTGGGCTAAATTTCAGAAATCGGCAAGTGAAACATTAGAGACGTTAAAGACAGTTGGTGGTGAATCTCCAGGCCAAAGAAGCCATGGGTGTTAAAATCCAAGATCAAAACAATGTTTATCTGCTTTTTGGACATCAGGGGTATCATCCTCTTAGAATCTGTACACAAATGGACCACTGCTAATCAGACATTCTACATGGAGGTGTTGTAAAGGCTTATTGTTGCCTTGAGGCACAAGCAAGGAAAGCTGTGGGGAGGTTACTTATTTATTCTTCACCATGACAATGTGGTGGCACATTCTTCACTTCAGGTATTGCAGTTTTTAGAGGAAGAGGCATCTCCACCATGGGTCATCCATCATACTCTCCTGACTGAGCTCCACCAGACTTCTGGCTGTTTCCAGAACTCAGGAGTGTGCTGAAAGGAAAGAATTTCTCAGATGTTGAGGACATTAAGTCATCTATGGAAAAATTTAGACATATTTCTGTTCAGGATTTTAAAAACTGTTTTGAGAAGTGGCCAAAGCACTGGGAACTTTGTGAAGAATGGGAGGGAGATTACTTTAAAAAATGTAGGTGCTGATATGGGCAGCTCTTAAAATAAATTTAAAGAAAATAGTCTCAAAACTTATTTGCTTGACCTTATACATCACCAGCATAATTTGGCAACTCACAATGTTAGTTTTCTGTGTTCATGCTTAGCAGCATTCATAATAGTGAGATAGTTGCTTAGATTTGAACTTATCATATCAATGTACAGATCAAATTATATAAATATATTGTGAGATGTAGGAGACCCATATTGCAAGTTTGAATTGTAGGAAGAACCAGTGGCAAGTTTTTAGGGACCAGAAAGTTCTAAATATACCAGATTCTACATTATATTGATCTTCATAATAGTACTGAATATTACTGAATATTTTGCCAGTACTGGTTAATTGGGTTGCCTCTGTTGTTGGACAGGTGTTGGATTCTATTATTTTTTATGTATTGTTTTTCTTTTGGCCTAAGCACGAAAATAATGAGAGGATGGAGGAAATTGCACAGTTTAGTGCCCCACTTAACCCTGTTAATGTAATTAAATCAAAGAGGGTGACGTGGTTGTGACGTATGAAACACAGAAGAAATGCATACAAAATTTTGGCTGGAAGGCTGAAGGGAAGGGACTGATTTGAAAGCTTGGGCAATAAATTGCATCTTATTGCTGAGACTGAATAGTCAGTACTTCCCTGAATGCAAACCAGGTATTACAATTAACTATAAGTTTATTTTAAAGTAATATTAAATTTGATTTTATACACATAAAATGTGAGAATGTGGACTATATTCACCTGGCTTAAATAGGGTTCAGTGGCAGCATTTGGTGAGCATGATGATACAGCTTTGGATTTAATAAACTATCTTGACCAGCTGAGAAATTATCAGCTCTTCAAGGAAAATTATGTGCAATGGAGTTAATTTGTTACAGGTGTGAGTTTGTGTCGCTGTACACTTACACACAAGGTAATGGTATAGTGGTAACTTATATTAGAGTCCTGATATGAGAAAGTACATATCATCTGCTTGGAATACTTCATTGCTTCTTTGTGATTACCCTTCATGTTTCTTTCAGAGCAGGTTTATTTAAGAGTTTTGCTCTAAACTTGCGTTAGAGAGTGGTACAGCTGTATAGTCACTAGACTACGGGCTGAATGACTGGAGAGTCAAGTTTCACCCCCTGGAAGGGGCAGAGGTTTTTCTCTTTGCCTCCATGTACTGACTGGGTCTGGGGCCCACCTAGCCTGAGTATCATATGGTCTTTCCCCATAGGATAAAGGAGGTGGTGTGTGGAACTGACCACTTACCTCCATGTTTGTCAAAGTTAAGAATGATTCTTCATGTCATGGTGCTTATTTAAATACAGTGACAACCTTACCATGTTAAAATCTCACCTCCTTAACCATGTATGCTATATAATGTTTGTCATCATTTCCTTAACCTTCTTGAGATGAATGCTGAGGAAGTTCCATGAACTCGGTCATGACCACCTTCTTCCAGATCGTTAGCAGCTCACCATTCATAATTATCTTTACTTCCTTTTCAATTAAATATAACCCCCTGCAGTTTAACCAGACTTTTTAAGTATCCAAAGAGCCGTTTGCCTAGTACACTTTGTCTTTACAGGACCAACTCTCTGCTTGAAAAAGTGTGTGATGAGGTGGGAAGAAATCATTTTTATGGTTGCCTCTGGGAATGCCTTGCATCAAATAGTGGAATACGCCTACCTGCTATTTCATTTGTGCTGTCTCACTTCAACAAGAAACAAGCTATGGAAGACCAGCTGTATGTAATTGGTACCAACATTGATGTCATGGTAAGAGACAGATATGTCATATGATTTCCAGTGAAGTTGTATAATTAACTAACTTCATGGAGCTGAGCGCTTCTTGAGAAGTGGCAGCTACTCGAGAACTTCTCAGCATTTTATCGAATCTGAAACTTCATCACTGTGTACACAAGAGCCCTCCACTGGTCCCTGTCCTGAGCCAGATTGATCCAGTCCATACCACCCCATCCTATCTCTCTTAAGATTTATTTTAACATTGTCCATCCACTTATGTCTTGGTCTTCCTAGTGGTCTATTTCCTTCTGGCTTTCCCACCAATATCCTATATGCATTCTTCTTTGACTTCATTCGTGCTACATGCCCTGCCCATCTTATCCTCTTTTACTTGATCATGGTAATTGTACTTGGCGAGGAGTACAAATTATGAAGCTCCTCATTATGCTGTTGTCTCCAGTCTCCCATTACTTCACACCTGTTGTGTCCCGATATTTTCCTCAGTACTCTGTTTTCAAACACCCACAGTCTATGTTCCTCCTTTAATGTACAAGACCAAGTTTCACAACCATACAGAACCACAGTCAAAATTATAGTTTTGTATATTCTAATTGTTATGTTTCTAGACACCAGATGAGAAAAAGAAAGTTCCGGACTGACTGGTAGGAAGCATTACCCAAATTCAGTCTCTTCTTAATTTCCTCTTAAAGCAACTTTTGATTTGTTGCTGTCATTCCCAAGTATCTGAACTGTACCACATTTTCAAAACATTTGTTAGCTGTCTTTGTGACATGATTTTTCCCTGCATTTAGGTGATGAGACAAGTGAAGTTGTATAAAATTGAATATTATTTGTATACAGTAACTCCCTTATAAGATACTCTCAGTTTAATTAAAATCTACAGATGTGAATGCCTGAAGATTATTTTACGAGTACCAGAGACAGAAACAGTCTCCATAATGTTCGAGTTGTTGTCCTTAAAAAGGACATTGCATTCTGCAAAGAATTAGATGTACAGAGTGTTCATTATTCAGGCTTATCAGACGTCCAGGGAACTTCCGAGAATTTGCTCTCAGCAGATGCTCTAGCACCGACCGGCAAACGGGCGGTGATTCATGCGCTGATTCAGTCTGTGTTTAGCCTTCAAGTGTTTCAGAAGCTAAGTATAGTGCATTATTCTGTGACTTTATTATGGTTCGTGCGAGATACAGTTTAGAAAAAAGAGTTTTCATTTATGATTGTTNGTGGTCTGATTGGTATGTAAATATTTGAACTACTGATTACTGAACATTTCCATTAAAAATTACAAAATATTGAATCATTCTTGAATTCCAGGTGGACCACACAAGTCATTGAGAAGTCAGTCACGTTTAAGTCAGGGCACTATCAGTAAAGTTAGATGCACTCTGATTTCAGAAGACAGAAAACAATACCATAGAATTTATTAAGTTAGAAGTGGTATTGATGGATGAGGATTTCTCTGTTGTACAATTAGCATATCACACAGGCATTATAAAAGCTGGAACTATTGCAGGAGTTTCTTTAGTTGGAAATTTTGTACGTTCAGTGGTGAATTGTGTCTAACAAACATCTTCTTAATAAATGTATTTATTCAAGGCATATGAAGTTTCTCTCTGCACATATGTTTAGGCTGTCTTTTGCCATGCAACATATCCTCTCTATTAATATGATCTCTCAGCACAATATAATGAATGGTCAGCACATATTTGATGTGTATTTGTTAGGTACTCAGTTCGGATCTTGGCCAGGGTGGGGCTAGCTATCCTGAATGAATTTCTCAGCTATTTTAGGTCAGTATTTGATTCCCAGTGAGGTCATTGGATTTTTCAACTGACCTAATCCTTTGAGCCACACTAATGTCCTGGGGCTGACTCAGCCTTTAACAGAAATGAGTACCAGGAATCCTCCTGGGGGTAAATGGTGGCCAGTGCATAAGGCTGACAACCTCACCGCCATTTGTGAGCTGATTGTCTAGAAAATTTGGGAGCCTCGATGTATCACAAGCCTATGGGCCTCCATGGCCTGTTACAGGGATAGCTTTACCTTACCTTTACCTTTTACAGTATGTATTGTTATGGTGTTTGAAACTTGTTACTGTAAGAATAAACTAAAGCTTTTCTTTTTTATCTCACCTGTATGCAAACATTTAGTGCAATTATTGCAGGTAAATGCATTATGTGCTGCAGTACAGGATTCAAATGTTTTGGTCCAAAGGAATGCTCTTGATCTGCTCTTGGTTGGTTTCCCCATGCACAACAGCCAACTAGTCCGAGCGGATATGGTGCGCCTTGTTACAGCTGCTCTTGTGGCTGTTCTCCGGCGAGATATGTCATTAAACAGGTAAACTGGATGGGAATATGATATTTTTGTCTTTTTAATGATTAAAGGAGATACAAACATGATATGTATAGAGTTTAGAGAGGTTATGTTCAGAGTTTCTAAAAACACCCAGACGCAGTGGTGCTGCACTCTATGCAAGATATTCTTAACTGTGTTGTCCATTTTGATTTGAAATCAAAGGCATGTTGTATACAGTGGTGCATTGCTGCTATAATGTGCTGTGCTGTACACTAAACTCCTAAGCTCTGAACACAACGTGGTAACACTGCATTTACAGCAACATCAGAAGTCACATCACCAACAAAATACCAAGAACAGCAACATCAGTTCAAAAAGAACTCACAGTATAACACTCCCATGCAGAACAACAAAATAATGAATGAGTGTTAAACACATAGGTGTAAACAGCAACTTCAGTCCAAGATACCCACAGAATAGCACTTCAACATGGGACTGTGAAACAGGCAACAGATGGTAAACACACACTGCCAGATCTCAAATCATCCCAAAGCCAGGAGTATGAAATATAGCTGGAATACATTATCTGCCACCATAGTATACAGATATGCCACATGCATATCACCCAACACCCCACAAAGTACAAACCCTATACACTGTCATAATCCAAGTCGTACCACTCATCCTACCCTATTCTCCCTACCCCCTTTCACTAAATACCCTAAACTTCTAATTTTAATTCATACTATAATAATAGTAAATATAGACTTACCTATGCTAATTTTTCAATTCAATACAATTTTCTGTCATATCTTGAGGAATAGGTTATATAAGACGGGACAAGTAACAATGGATCTATTGCAATAAGCAGTCATTGACATATTTGACAACATTTTTAATATTTTTAAATGCCTGGTGATGACCATATATGATCAAAACATGTAGCAAATATTCTTAGTGAATGAATACTGATTTCATCCATAATACTTGTGTCTTTAGTTGTTTATTTGTAGTTGTGTTGTGATAGTTGGACTGATATACATAGGGAGTTCTTCTGTTGTTTTCTCCATGTAAATATGAGGTAATCGATCAATCTTTGCCATGTGCATACTTTTTTTTGCTAGTTCAAATATGCCTAAAGCAGTACAATTGACTTTAGTAGTTCTGTAGATGACATTGCAGGCTTTCAAATGTTGTATACTATCAACCCGTTTAATCAGTTTTTACTGTTGTTTTATGAGGTCTTGGAAGCATGTGCACATTTTGATTCATGGCACTCTCTGTCAAACATGCACAAAGTATTAATAGTTTTGACTTCAGTAGTTCTGTAGATTACATTGTAGGTTCTCAAATGTATGCTTGTAGTGCAGCTGCACCAGAGCCCTGAGCTCAAGCCCCCCCCCCCCCCCCAAANTATTTTCAAATCTGTATACTTGTACTGTGACATGTCATGTTTGGTTGGATTAATATTTTTACAATGTATTTATATTTCTGTAAAAACTATACTGTATATAAGAAAAAGTTTTTTTTAAATAGATTTTGACTCTCCATGCTTATAGTATTTTGAATGAATTGACCCCACCCAGTGGGCTGTAAGGTCATACCACAGATGTGAGATTTGAGGTAGCCCACTGTCCATTGTTCTTTCCCTGGCATGGGAAGGTCGGTCAGAAACTGATCCATAGTTGGGGTGAATGGGTGCGTATGACAACACAACAGTTTGCATGAATATAGCCCAGGTTGGATGTGCTGCCATGAGTAGAATATGTAAACATGTTGAATATGTGCTTTCACGTTGTATCATCCCTCCCATCTTGCAAGCATAACGAGATCTGTTTGCTACGCACGATTACTTGATGTACCCTACTTCATAGAGTAGATTGACTTTACCAATTGCATATTTCATTCTAGTTTCCTCTTTCAAGGATCCTATATAAAAATGGTTGAATAAAACTGTTTCTAAAAAAATTTTTTTTTTGTAGGAGGCTGTTTGCGTGGCTGTTGGGGTCAGAAGTTAATGTTTCATTACTGAATTCAGAACATCCTCTAGTAAAGAAAAGCAAGAGCTGTGGAAGTCCTAGTAATACCCTGTACTTTGATATGTATTCGAGAGAAATGTTAATTCAGGTGTGTTATTTTCTTAGATTTCATTTTTGCAGTGTTTAACATTTTGTTGTGTTTTTTCTAATTTAGATTCAACATTGTCATTATCAGAAGCATGATTCTTGCATTTTGAAACATTATTATTTAAAAAATTTATGCAGGCCTTGCCGCTGCCTTATATAATGGTCAGTATCCTGAAGACTCTTTTTGTTTTAAGTTTTTTAAAAATATTTTGTGAAAACATTGCAGGACATATTGTTTCATATGGATTGAAAGATTGAGAGAAGGTAAGAGAAGAAAGTTTGAAGCTGGCAGAATATGTTTTATGAGATGAATGTCACAGTTACACTCTGAGATCAAATGGGAGTGAGGATATTTTAGAGGAATTACAGATTAATGACATTGCAGATACAGTTTCATATAATAGAAATAAATGATGGGAATGCACAGAAAGGACATAAGGTAATTGTATGCTAAAGGGTTTTTCTTTTTTAGGTATGGTTTGTGGGGAAATAGGAATGTTGGAAGACCATAAAAAAGATGGATTGACCAAGAAGCTTGGAATTGAATAGATCATTGGGCCTAATCCTTGATATTGATGAAAAATTTTGCACTTGTTGTTAAAAGTTATGTTGTTATAATGTTATTGTAGATACACAGCATGTAATCAGTTAGTGTTTGTACCCCAAACTAGAATAGAACTTATATTGTTTACTTATGATGTATTTATCATTGCAGAACTATGTGTTCTTATCCTTGTTCACTCAGTGTTTATATCTTAAGCAGTTATTAGGATCAATAAGTTTTAATGAAATAGTGTTGAAAATTATGAAAAGAAAATATAGACTACCACTTTCTCAGGCATAGTTCCGGATTGATAAGGAATTTTCGTGTTAGTTGTTGCAGTCAGTTTCATTTATTTGTTAATGCACTGAACTTGTAAAGGGTTTTGCATTGTGAAATTGATTCATGTCCAGAGATATTTGTTCTTGTTGTGAAATTAACAACATTTAGATTTTATATAGCATTTTTATTTTATCAATTCTTTCATTCTTGAAAACACAACTAAATATCTGAGCTTACTTTTCCTAAATGTTGATGATTGGGGGGGGGGGG